ATCATTTCTCCCATGATCTCTATATGATATTTTTAAGATTTTTCTCAAACATTTCCGATGGAATACATTCACTTTATTCTCCATAGCTGCTGTTCTTCTCCAGGTTTCGCTAGCATACAAGGCTGTAGGTATTACAATGGCGGAGTATAATTTGATTTTAGTCTCTTTTCTGATGGTGCTCGAGTTCCAAATAGGTCGAAGCCTATTGAACACACCTGTAGCTTAATTAAGTCTTGCTTGAACATCAATGTCTGATTCTCCGTTAGCCGCTATCTTACTACCCAAATACACGAAATCTTGTACATCTCTAGATGTACAAGAATAGAGGGGTAAACCGTTATATTATAACGCCCCCATGACTGAAAGGGCGATCATGTTCGGTGAAAGGGATTCGAACCTACGACCCGAAGATTGCGAATCGAGCGCCCTAACCATCAGATCATGCTCGGCCCCAAACCAGTAATTATTGTTTTCTATTTCTTTGTGTCTTTAGGCCAATTCAACAGTTACATGAAGTTTTTGACGTTTCTTTGTTGTCTTTGGTGTAAAGGAAATTTAGTAATTTTAAATTAATTTTCTTCCTTAGTAAAATCTATATTTTAATAATTAGGTAAGATATAGGTATTTCACTCAGTATGTCTGTCTGTTTACTACCTCTACTTTAGGAAAATGTATTTTATTTTGCTTTACTTCTCACCGTCTTTATTTACCGAAAATTAGTGCCATTATTCCCTGAGAAGAACAGAAAAATTATTACCGTTTTCGTGAACTTGACAAGAATTGTCAACGAAATACGTTTATAAGTCTTATATATGAAAACTGATATTGAACATAGAAATAGATATCAACTGAAATACTTAAAGATTAGAAACCGTCAAATAAGTACAATAAAGTTACAGTTTAGTTAATGAAGAAGTAAAGCAAACCATAAGTTGTTTGCGTAAAATAATGATAATAAACAGACAAAAAAGGCAAACGAAATACCATAATGAGTCTTGTTTCCTGAAACTTAAAATGCACAGATCGGAAAAGGTTTAGGGAAATACCTCAAACTCTTGTATACTAGAGATGGTATTACGACAGTAAAATATCTCATAAGGTTTTACTTTTCAGTTAGTTAACACAGAGAAAAGACAACAAAATAAAACCATTGTTTTCGTAAATTTCACATAGAAAACAGACAGAAAACAAAAAGAAATACCTTTATGTTTTCAGAATATTAAAACAGAAACTGTGCTAAGATAAAAAACACACAAAATGAGTAAATTTCTTTTGTACCAGAATGGCAAAAGAGACAGCAAAGAAACGTCGAAATTATTCAGCAGTGTTAAATTTGACTAAAAAGACTGAGAGAAATATTAAGAAATAATTAATGTTTTCTTAAACTCAGAACAATAAACAGAATAAAATGTTAGAGAAGTACGTTGAAGAGTCTTTTATCTTGTGCCTCAAATGCCTAAAGTGTTTTTAACTACAAAAGTAAATAGAGACGATAAATTATAAAATATGGTAATATTTTTCTATTCAGTTAATAAAGACACAAAGAAGAAAACTGAAATAAATGTTGTTTTCATAAACTAGTTAAAATATAAAAACAGAATTAGGAAACATTTCCTTCATGTTTCCTAATTATCGAAATAAATATTTTAATAAGGAAAACAAAAATCACGTGAAATGACTAAATTTCCTTTACAACAAAGACAGCAAAGAAACGTCAAAAACTTGCAGCAAAGTGAATCTTGGCTTAAGTGCTTAACATGTGCTGTTTATTTTGGCCATAAATTTTGTGTATTTCAAAGTTACTTGACTAGCTTGTTTCACTAATCTGA